ATTTTTGAAGTTGGGCCAGAAAACTGGATTTTTACCCGATGAACAGTAAAAATCCGAAAATTAGCGTTTTTCATGAATTTTTAAGCCCAAAACCATCCAATGTGGTCTAAAATGGTTTTTATTAAACCCTAAGTGGATCCGATAGTAAGGTGTGACAGGGGATGGGTATGGATTTTGACTTGTTGAGGGTGAAATCTTTTATTTCAATGTAGATCAGAGCCCCTATATTGATTTTCTCTCTATTAATGATTCTGGCTAGTAAGAGGTATCCTGATTCAAATGAGAGAAGCTGTCAGATTTATTCACCATCTTCCTGGAGTAAATGTAGTGGATTATTTGATAATAATCATACATTTGCTTTAGAGGGAAATTCAGTTCTCTAGGATAGTTGTCACTCTACATCAAAATCTTATAAGCTTTGATGTCATTTATGTCAGATCCTCTAACATGTTCCTGAGTTCCCAGGAGCTCATTTATCTTTGCAGAAGTGAGAGTAATGGTTCTGCCTCTGAGTTTGGTTGTGAGACAATTACTCACTAGATTGTCTCCTTTATCATATTCTTCAATTGATTTCATGTTGCAATAAAATCTTTTGACAACCTCAGGGCAATATTCTCTACCAATGCTCAGCCGATTTGAATAGTAGCCTAAAGGGTCACTCAGGTCTAATCTAATTTTCTTGTTATTTTTCAAACTATCCAAATTTATAGAAACAACAGGACAAAATTTTTGAGTTGCAAAATCTGCCTTAAACTTAAGCATATTCACATCTCTATCCAAATTTCCAACCAAAAATTTAGTAGATGATTCAAATGGAATACCTTAGGTAGGAGTTTGCTGAGACACATCCTCACTAGTTCTATGTTTCTTGTGTCTTGGTTGTTGGGGTACTAGATTGTTCAATGCTATATCCACATCTTTCTTAACTGAAATTTCATCATCAGATTCTATTTTTGATTCCTTAGTGATTACCGGTGGTTTTAATTTTAAGCGAGGAGATCTTCTTTGTGAAGTTAGTTGTTTAGAGCTTACTGTCTGGCTTTCTCTGATTTTCAATAGCCCCTTTTCTTTGATGTGTCTTACTTCACTTTGGGTCTATATCTTTTCTTGGTAGTCGAGGGAGTAGTTTCTTTGGATTGGATTTACTTCTCAAAGCTTTCTTCTTGGTCACTACTAGCTTGTTTAACTCTTGCCATTTTTTGGTACAGAAGACGATTTTAGAGTGATATTTGGTGATTTGTGAGTTTAAAGAGGTTGGGAGTGATCAAAAGGACTTAAAAGATGATTTTGGGTGATGAATAGTGGGAAACTTAATGGAATAATGTGATTTTTGACAGTTGGGAAAAACAGGGATGACGGTTTATCGAGTTAGGGTTTTGAAAACTGATGAGGGAGTTTCAAATTCTGAACATTATAAAGTCAAAAATAATCGATCAAGTTATCGGTCAAATGATTGATAAATACAAACAACAAGCAAGAATACTAAGAACAATTATCGATCATGTTATCAAATAGCAGTTATCGAATACTTTGTCGATAAATTTACAATTAAAGTTATACCTGTCTAAGTTTATCAATCATATGATTGATTAATCATTGTTCAATGAATTAATCGATAAACCTTACCCATTTGATTGATTGACTAAAGAGTCTCCTTCTACTGTTGAACTATAAATTGTTTGATAATGGAGTGATCGATCAGCTTATCTATAATCCTACTCCCTATCATTTCTAGTCAGTCCCATATACCCTATTAATCGATACGTTGATCAATAAATTGGATTTATCGATCAGGTGATGATAAATTGAGGTATCTTTAAGGCATGTTTATCGATGCTTTTATCAATCAAACCCTACTCTGTTCACCTCTATTTTTCAGTATCTAAGCAGAGTTTCCTGTAAAACAAATTTTTATCTACTCTGATGCTTAAGTTAGCTTTCTAATCATCAAAACTTTAAATCAAAATACTCAAACTGAAGAAGTAATGTGAGATTTCTCATAGCTCATTGGGATTTACCATTTCCAATTCTCTTATGAAGTAATTGAATTTCTATTGGTCAAGAGGCTTTGTGAATATGTCTGTTATTTGATATTCAGTGGGAATAAATTCTATTTTCACATCTTTCTTTTGAACATGATCCCAAATAAAGTGATGTCGAACATCAATATGCTTGGTTCAGGCATGATGAACTGAATTCTTGGACAGGCTCATTATGCTCTTATTGTCACACAGGAGTGGGATTTCCTTCAATTTAATTCCCAAATCTTGTAACTGTTGTTTTAACCATAGAATCTGAGCACAACAACTAGTAGTGGCAACATATTCTGATTCTGTAGATGATATAGCCACGGTGTTTTGTTTCTTGCTAGACCACGAAACAAGGCATCCTCCCAGAAATTGGCATTGTCCATTGGTGCTTGTCCTATCTATTTTATATCCTCCATGATCAGCATTTGAGTATCCCATTAGATATTCTACTCCTTTCTTTGGATGCCATATTCGGAGATTTGGTGTTCTGACAAGATATCTGAGGATTCTCTTAATAGCTTCTTCATGTGATTCCTTGGGAGTTGATTCATATTTGGTCAAATTCACATCTTTGCCTTTCTCATCTGCATCTAGTGAGATGGTTGAACTCATGGGAGTCTTTACACTCTTTACATGTTCTAGACCATATTTCTTCAAAAGTTCTTTGGGATACTTTGTCTAAGATATGAAAATTCTATTTTTCTTTTGTTTGATTTGTAATCCTAGGAAGAAATTCAATTCCCCATTATTGACATCTCGAATTCACCCTATATTAACTTAGCAAGCTCTTGGCAAAGATCTTTATTAGTAGCGCCGAATATAATATCATCCACATAAATTTGAACGATTAAAAGTTCTTTCTTATTTCTTTTGATAAAGAGTGTAGCATCCACTTTGCCTCTTTCAAAATCTTTTTTTATCAAAAAAGTGCTAAGTCATTCATACCATGCTCTAGGTGCTTGTTTTAAACCATATAAAGCCTTTTTCAATTTGTGAACATGATCAGGAAGATTTGGATCCTCAAAACTAAGGGGTTGTTCAATGAAAACTTCTTCCATGATGTAACCATTCAAAAATGTACTTTTGACATCCATTTGATATAGTTTAGAATCTTTTATGCAGGTAAATGTCAAGAGTACTCGTATGGCTTCCAATCTAATTATTGGAGCATATGTTTCCTTGTAATCAATACCTTCTTCTTGATTATAGCCTTTTGTTACTAATCTGGTTTTGTTGTTATGGATGTAACATTTGCTTATGAAGATCTTTAGATGAGTCAAGTTCGGTTTCCTTCCCTTACACAGCTCATGAGGAGTCTTCCTGAGTAGCATTTTGATATATGCTCTGTTGAAGATATAACAAGTTATGCTCATAGCTTCTGCTCTGAATACTTGAGAGATTCTTTTTTATTTAGCATTGCTTTGGCCATCTCTGTGATTACTCTATTCTTTCTTTTCATAAATCTATTCTGTTAAGAAGTTCTTGGTACTAAGAAGTTGTGGTCAATTCCATGCTTGTCACAATAGTCTGCGAATTCATTGTTCTTGAATTCTCCTCCATGGTCAATCCTGATAGACACAATAGAGCTACCTTTCTCATTTTGGACCTTTTTAGCAAAAACTATGAATGCACTAAATGTCTTGTCTTTGGAGGAAAGAAATAGAGTCTAGGTAAATCTTGAATAGTTGTCAACTATCATAGGAGTATATAAGTTTCCACCGAAACTCTTGACTCTTGATAGACCAACCAAATCCATGTAAAGCATTTGGAGTGGCTTGTCAATTCAAACTGTCTTCTTTGATTTAAACGAGGACTTTGTTTTTTTACCCTTCTAACAAGCATCACAAACAATATAATGTTCAAATTGAATTTTAGGTAAACCAATAACTAAATCCCTTTTTTGTTAATTTTGAAAGCTGATTCATATTAACATGAGCAAGATATTTATGCCAAAGCCAACTTTCCTCATTTTTGCTAACAAAGCAGGTTTTAGAGAGTTTAGAATCAATTTTAATAGTATAGCAGTTACCGTCTATTGGAGCTCTTATCCTTTCAATTCCTCCTTCTTCAGTGGTAAGTCATCTTTGCTGATGATTAGGCATTCTTCTGAATTGAAGATCACCCAGTTGTTCTTGTCAGTACTCTGTCGGACACTGAGTAGGTTGTGACATAGGCCTTCAATATAGTAGACATCTTCAACTCTCATTCCCTTGTCACTTCCTATTTCTCTGATTCTAATAATTCTCCGAGACTGATTTCCGCCAAAGCTCATGTTGCCTCCTTCTTTAGGTTTGAGTGATGAGAATTTCTTAGTATCACCCGTCATATGTCCACTATTGATGTACCATTTGTTCGTTCCAGATGCTTTAAGACATACTTGCAATAGAAGAATCATGTTTTAGGTACCTATACCTTCTTGGGTCCTTTCTGGTTAGTATAGTTTGTCTTAGGTACATAAGTAACTTTGGGCATCTATTTTAATGTCCCATAAGTCCCTTTCTTCTTGTGATGACAAGAAGAGGTAGTATGACTCTTACAGTTATAGTATGAACATAATACAAAAGGATTAGAATATGAGCAGCATTTTTAAAGGAAGTTAGATATGATCGACCACCACTTTCCTTCTTCTCCTTTTCTTATCTTGAGTATGATCATATCCTATTCCAGACTTATCCATCGTACAGCGTTGAGCTCCTAGAATTACTTTGAGCATTTCATTGTGTACTTCTCTAGAGCATTAGTGAGCTCCTCAATTTTCTTTCTATTTTGCTCACATTCTATACATATTGGAGATGTGGTATCTTTCTGCTTCGTTTGTTGTTCCTCTTGAATCTTTATCTTCTTTTTGGAGCTTACTAACTCCTTAGCTATTCCTACTAGCTTAGAATGTAACGCATTATACTCAGATTGCAATTCATCATAAGAAGGTTTAGAAATGATTACCTCATTTGTCTTCAAATCTCCGTCTTCTTAAGCCATAAGATAAATGTTAGCTGTTTCTTTATCATCACTATCTTCTTCTTCTGAAGAGCTCTCTCCCCAAATTGATGTCATAAATGCCTTCTTCTTTCTAAACTTTTCTTCTTGTTTTTTTTTGTCTTTGTCCTTCATCCTCGATAGTTGAGGACAATCTGCTTTAATATGTCCTGGCTTCTTAAATTCGTTGCAGATTATTGGTTCTTTAGGCTCGTTTTGAGATATGGTTGCCTTATGTTTTGACTGGAACCTCCTTCCTGCTCTGTTCTTATAGAATTTCTTAAACCTCCTGATTATGAGGCCTTTCTCTTCATCCTCCAAATCCTCTTCGTCGTTAACTTCACTTTCTTGAGCCTTGAGAGGTATACCTTTACGATTTTTCTCATTCATTTCTTTTTTTATATTTCTGCTTGCTCTTGTATTTTTCCAAGCTTCTGAACAATGCAGCAATCGAGCTAATAGATTCCCCTTTTGTTTCTTCGGTGGCCGTCACCTTTGGCTCCTATTCTTTAGTGAGTCCACCAAGAATCTTCCTTGGTTGATCTTTCTGACTATATTTCCTTCTGAGAGCAGTCAGGTGGTTGATAAGATGTGAGAACCTTACTTCCATATGCCAAATGCTTTCTCTGTCTTTCATTCTGAAAAGCTCAAATTCTGTGGTAAGAGTGTTTATTCTACTCTGTTTTACTTCGGTTGTGCCTTCATGAGGAATCTCCAAAGCTTCCCATATTTCTTTAGCTGTCTCTAGGCTTGAGACCTAGAAGTACTCTCTCTAACTTAATACATAGGTCAACATGTTGATGGCTTTGTCATTTAACAGCACGAGCCTTTTATCTTCCTCATCAAATTCTCTTGGACTCTTTGCTACTTATTGATCATTGACTGTCTTCATTGGAACATAATTTCCATGTTGTATTACATCCCATAGACTGTAATCCATTGCCTTAATGAATATCTTCATCCTCATTTTCTAGAAGGTGAAGATTTCATCGTTAAAGTCTAGTGGTTTTGATGTTGAGCATCCTTCAGGTAGCACACTATCTCCAAAACCTATCATAGGATCTCTCTTTGGACTGTTAAGTCTTAGATGAAGAGACCTACTTTGATACCAAATGTTAGTGGCAGCTTCACCCAAGAGGGGGTAAATTGGGTAAAGTATAAAAATTTAACTTAATAAAACAATTAAGTAAATAAAATAGAGGAGATGAGTTAGGAAAATTTCACCGAAGAATAGAGACACGGAGTTTATACTGGTTCGATCTTAACCACTTGACCTACGTTCAGTCCTTAGAACGTTTCTGAGATTTTCCACTATACCCTAAGATTAAATGGGCTCTTGGTACCTCATTACAGTAATTGAATCTCTCAATCAGTTCCCCTTACTATCCATAAGTTTACAATCCCCTCAAGAGTCCACACTCTTAAGTTACTCTTAGATATGAGTAAAGAAAGACATATTAAACTCTCTCACAGAGTGTATGAATGATAAACACTGAAGTTCGGTAAAACAAAGTATTGAATGCAACAGTAAATTTTTAACAGAAGGTAACTTGTGTATTCAATACTTTATTCAATGCCCTTCGCATATTTTATAGTTGGAGTATTTCAATTATCCATTAGACTAAAGTGCTTCTTGCTGTCGGAAGATTGTTTACATGTGTCTGGCAATTACAACGATAGTTTACCATTAATGCTTCTGACACAGCAGGTTAAATGTTACACCTTACTATTGTATCATCTTAGGGTTCAATTAAAACCATTTTAGACCATATTGGATGGTCTTCGGCTCAATTTTATCCCAAAAACGTTGATTTTCAGATTTTCAGATTTTCATCCAGTAAAAATCTAGTTTTCTGGCCCAATTTCAAAAATTCATAACTTAATTTAGAAAAATCAAAGTAGAGTGATTCAAAATTCCATAAAAATCTATTTGAATTCTCTTTCAATGAAAAATAATCTTGTGAACCAGTTCCCTTTGAAAAAGTGTCAAGTTTTTGTGGAAGTCACCTCTGTCTATTTGGCAAAAACCATTTTTCCGGATTCTGAACCTTAACTTTGAAAAATCATCAAAAATCGTATAGTTAGCTATTTTTAGTCTGTTAGCTATCAAAATGAAGCTCAAAACGTGATCTACAATCATGCTAATTTCTGTGATTAAAAGCATTCATAAACTTAATCAAAATGTCACTTAAAGTTGGCGGTGTCAGTAGGTTTAGAGCACTGTCTTGCTGAATATTTACATAACCAAAAGTCCATGAATTTTTTTTTTATGGTGTGATACCATAATTCAACCTTCAATCTGTAGCTTGCCCTTGGAAGTTTCAGGCCCTAAAATGTTAGATTATATTTGGGGGATGAGATTTTAAGAAATCCCAGTAGCAAGATCAATCAACCAAAACATCAACATGCATCATTATAAAGCATTTCAACATTAGCTATCATAGGAGAACTAATCTTCTTATAAATAGGCAACCTCAACATGCAAGACAATGGCAACAAATGCAAGGAGCAACCATATCACAAACATCATAGTTCAACCATATAATAGCAAGCATTCATGCCATAAATAACAATGCAAAGTTAACACTAATGGCTAATTAAATCCCACTACCTTGATCCAATGCTCTTTGATTTTCTTGTTCTTCTTTCTTGCTTCCATAAATGTCAAACCCTAATATGGCAATTCATAAAAAGGGTAGTAAGAATCATCAACCATTCCACATAAAAATCAACAACATAACTCAAGGACAACATTTGTCCCTTAAAGCTTCCACCTTTGTTCTTTAAATTTTAGAGTTTGTTTCCATAAACCCTAAAAATTCCCTCTTGACCTTTTCCTATATGGTTTTTTATGTATATTCCAAATTTGTGCTTGGATTTAAACTCCTTCTTCTAGTTTTAGCTTAGCCGAGTCACTATTGTTCATTTTCTAAAAATTACACCTTTAGCTTTAATGCTTCCAACCTTTGTTCTTTAGGTTTATCCTACACCATTTTCCATTTTGAACTCAATAGAAGCATCAAAACTTTGAAACACACATCTTAGGTTCTATCTTTCTTCTTGGCCGAACTGAACCTCAAGAGAAACATCAAAGAAAACACTTCAAAAACAACCTACAACCACTTGTAACCACTAGCATCTATCATACTTTGAAGTGTTCTAACAAGTTTGAACAACAAAACTTCCTCCCTTACTTATTATATATTTCAGCCAACACCTAAGAAAGAAGAAAACCAGAAATTTCAACCATACAACTCAAGGGAAACAAGCAAGGAACAATGTAAAATCATCTACTAACCTTAACTCCAAGCTTACTTGATCTAAGTTGGTCGTTTTTCCCTTGAATCCTCTTCAAGCTCTCTCTTTTTCTCTCTTTTCCCTCTTTGGCCAAAATGGTGATCTGATTTAGGGGGAGGAAGAGCTCAATTAATGTACCAAAATATCCCAACCACCATCATAAATGCAAATCCAAGTGTCATTATCCCCTTTAATCTTGCTTTCTTTTTCATAATTAACTAAATCCACATGAAATTAATTACCAAAAGTCAAAATCCTCTCCATTTGAGGAGTGACACTTGGCAAGTTCAAATACTCTCCATTAGGGGCTTGACATGTAAAAACCCTTTACCCCAAAACATTATAATCTCGTCATAAAACCACTACTATGTTAGAAAAGGAAAGCTGTTAAAATGAACTACCATAGTAGAAAGAAATTTGCATAATTTTAGAAATTGACTTTTGAACTCAGGTCAAACCCAAACTCAGTTGTATGTAACTAACATCAATCATTCACAACCACTGGGCCTCCGAGCCTCTAACCCGGGTAACACAAGATATCAAAATCAGCCCATATAAATGGTTTCCAACAACGTAAATTAAAGTTCCACAATAATAGAAAGGGGCCTCCGGCCAATTAAAAGTGAGAAGATACACTTCCTCCGGTTTACCATAAAGCCAGGCAATCAAAAGATTTCAAAGGACCCTATATGTGGCAATATACAACTAGCCATATATAAACAAAGGCTAGAAGCCTAAAGCTAACCAAGCTCAAGCCTCTACGTCTCTTCCCGAAGGCGCACGCCTAGAAACTTCACCTGAAAACATTGTAAACCACAGGGTAAGACAACGTCCTAGTAACCAACCTTTCCAATTCAAGGTACAAACTAAATAGGTGCTCGTGAGGTGTCAAGTGGGGTAGTTCACAAGTAATATTATAAATGATAGCCACAACAATTCATGCAAGTGCAATGATGCAATTCCCATCAACCATATCCCTCACTTTGGGGGGCTTTCAAGAGCCGAACCCGGCCTATCCCTCACTATGGGGGACATAAGGAGCCATAAAAGGCCTATCCCTCACTCTAGGGGACGTAGGGAGCTAAAAGGCCTATCCCTCACTCTGGGGGACGTACTGAGCCAACCATCATGCACTAATGGAGGCCTTACCACGTGGTAGTAACTATCAAAAACTCTCACCAATTCCCAATTCATGCATCATGCTCAAACCATAATCGAATAGTAATTGAACATTTCATAATTAACTTCTTTCAGTGGCATATCGTTCACAATTCCAAGATTCATTCATCATCAAGCGAAACCCCACAAGACGGTTTTCCTTTTTATATACAACATACACTTTGAACATAATTGTTACTCGAAGCACAAAACATAAATCTACTCACAATACCACAGAAGCATGTACTAAGGATTGGAAAGTGGTTACCTCTCGCCTGAGCAAGGAATAACAACCAACAATACGGTCCGTGCACCAACAAGGCTCACAACCGGTCTACACAAGCACACAAACACACAACCATCATGTATTAGCTTTCAAACTAATAATGTGGCCAAAACAACACTTGGGGATACAAAATTCCTAGCTCCAACCAAAACACTACCCAACTCAAAGGGTATAACCATCAAAACAACACTCCAAAGTCATAAAAGTCCATTAAAACATCAAATCCCCTTCCAAGCATCAATTAGGGTTTAAACCTCAAGGACCCACTATAGGAATTCAACACCCAAACATCCCATTTGAACAATTGAAGTTCTAACAACAATCTAAACCGATTAAACATCCAATTTAACCCCCTTGACATAACCCAATTCACAAAACTCAAAATCAATCTCTACATTATCATCCTCAATCACAAAACTCCCTTTTTCCATAAACCCTAACTTCAAAAACTCTAAGTTCTTCAAATCCAAGAAAACTACACCGATTAAATACTTAGACTAACCCAAAGCAATCAATTAAACTCAAAATAATCGGTCAAAAACTTCAATTCCATCACAACCTAGAAAACTCTAGGATTCTACCATAAATCCTCAAAAATTCCAAGAAAGAAAGTAGATTAGAGGTTAAAATCACTTACTTGAGGTAATGG